ATTGATGAGCAATGTCCTGCACATCCTATTGTCACCATCCACATGCTTGAGACTTGTTTTATTTTATTTTTTTCTCCAACACCGATAGCAAAGGATGAGAGAGAAATTAAAAATCAAGCTTTAAATATAAGATAAAACTGGCTGAGATACATCACTGGAAAGGTCTTAAGCCATATATTCCTGGCTGTTCTCCAGAGGATTTATCCCTAGCCTCTCATGGCAGGGTTTCCTGAAATTCAATCCACAGATGGCCCCAGATGTAGGAGATTGCAGATTTAAACACAGATTAATATATTTCAAGGATTACCTCTGATACTTGGGCAGGAATGTGCCTTGACTTCAGATGTTTTTACTACCTACACCAGATCAAAATCTTGGGTGTATATGATCTAATTTAGTGTCTGGACCAGCCTTCCAACCATTCCCAGTATCCTGATCCTCCTAGTTCTCCTGCTCCAATTTGTTCTCTTTCTAAGAATCTATCATTCATTCTGACTGTGTCTGATGATTAATATTCTTCACTCCACACTAAGGTTTCAGAGAATGTTCTGAAGTCATCTTGGAAGATAACTGGAATGCTTCCATCAGTCATTACTTTTCTTCTTTATGTAATATGCAAAATTGCAATCAAGAATCTACACTCCAGGAGCGTAGGAAGTACACTGCAGGGGAGGACAATAGGATCTGGGATAAACTAGAACAAGGGTGTTCAAACTTGGCAAGTTTAAGACTTATGGACTTCAACTCCCATAATTCCTAAGTGACTGGAGGAGGAATTCTGGCAGTTGAAGACCACAAGTCTTAAAGCTGTCAAGTTTGAAGACCCCCGAACTAGAGAGAAAAGTACAGGATCTCTAGATGTGCCTGGGATCTGTTCAAGTGATGGACACTCTTATTAGAGAAAATTCTCAAAAAAATAGCATGTGCCCAATATTTGTTGGGAGACTACCTGGAACACAGCCATCACTTAGCTTGTTTCACTCCATCTCTTCTCATTCAATTTAGCCTCATCAGACCTAGCAATGAGATAGATAACAGATAATCAGAGTTGGAAGGGACCTTGTAGGTCATCTAGTCCAACCCCCGCCCAAGCGGGAGACCCTACACCATTTCTGACAGATGGCAGTCCAATTTCTTCTTGAAAGTCTCAAGTGATGATGCTCTCACAACTTCCTGAGGGCAAGCTGTTCCATTGGTTGATTGTTCTCACTGTCAGAAAGTTTCTCCTTATTTCCAGGTTAAATCTCTCCTTGTTTAGTTTCCATCCATTATTCCTTGTCTGACCTACAGGTGCTTTAGAAAATATCTTGACCCCTTCCTCCCTGTGGCAGCCCCTCAGATATTGGAAGACAGCTATCATGTCTCCCCTGGTCCTTCTCTTTACTAGATTAGCCAAGCCCAGTTCCTGCAACCGTTCGTTGTATGTTTTAGCCTCCAGTCCCCTAATCATCCTGGTTGCTCTTCTCTGTACTTTTTCTAGAGTCCCAACATCTTTTTTATAATGTGGTGAACAAAACTGGATGCAGTACTCTAGGTGTGGTCTTACTAAGGCTTTATAGAGTGTTATTAGTTCCTCCCTTGATCTTGATTGTATCCCTCTGTCAATACAACTTAGGATTGCATTAGCTTTTTTGGCTGCTGCTGCTGCACACCGCTGGCTCATATTTATCTGGTTGTCCACTAAGACTCCAAGATCCCTCTCAAGGTTACTGCTATTGAGATCTGATTGAAACCAACAAATATTTGATTTCCTTGGACCCAGAGCTGCATTTGGCTACATCTATTTTCCAGTTGCAGCAAAAGGAGGTGGTCAGTCATCCTGGCTGAGATCACCACCATTTGGTTCCCGCCTCCTAGAATGATCTCATATGCAGGCTGCATAATGAGATCATAATGACTGATTCTAAATAAAAAGATTCAACAATAGGATACAAAGGTAACCTCAAGGGTCATTGTTGATGCGGTTCCATGTTGCAATTAGTTTAGACATTTTTCATGAATTATGTTAAAATATGCTCTGCTGTATTTGAAGGATTAATGATGTTTTGCAAGGAATACTGAATTATAATGCATTTCCAGATAAAAACAGAAACAAGCTGAAGCTAAATGGTCTGCTTAGTTGAAAGACTAAAACTGTCTTTTCTAAGCCTCTGTTTTGCTTTTCTTTTTCCATTTACTCATTAGTTTCCATATGAATAGTGCAGAAATGCAGAAATGATGATGTCATAGCTTTGTGATTGTTCAAGCTACTTTAACTCCCCTCTTTGAATCATGATATGTATGCCACAGAACTCATGAATATTCCCCAAGTATTTCCATAGTTCTAGGCACTGATGTGTGTCAGTGCAAACTATTCTGAGAAATGTTTGAACTTTTTTTTTTTTACTTCTTTCCAAAAGTAGCAGCTCGGCAAACATGAGATTGTGCAATGCTGCTTATCAGAAAATGAGATCAAATGTGCTGAGGAATCAGTCTTTTACACAGTTTTTTTTCCAGAAACAGGACACTCTAAATTTCAAATTGCTGAATGCTATGGAAGTATGTGTAGATACATCTTCACACAGACACACACATTTTTAAAATGTTTGGCTTCTTTGACACAACTCATTACACTTGAGAATGTGACCTCTGAGAATAGCTAGGACAAAAGAATTAATCGGCAAGAGGCCATTGTGGGCCAAGCCACAGAGAGCAGCATTCTAAATGTTTTAGTACTCTGGAATAGCCATTAGCATTTGCATTCACTTAATAACCTTATTAGCAGGAACTGGGAACAGCAATGAAATGAAAAAGTAACCTGGAAAATTGCCAGAGAGATGTGGTGATTAAGGAGGAACACACAGCCCATTTCAAAATTCAAGGAAGGAAAAGGTTATGTCCCTTTCTGAGCAAGCAGGTAAAACTAACATAGCACAGTTGTAACACAGCATTCATGATACAGGTTCAGCCTTTTTCATGAATTTTTCTATTCTGAACATCAGTCTTAGTCAGAAAGACAATGTTTTTGTGGAATTTTCTACCAAGAGATACCAACAGCCATTCACCAGTGTAGAACATATTGCAAAAGAAACAGGTAAAATGACATAGCTTTTCTAAGACCCATAATAGGAAAATTGGAAATTTCATGAACAGAGGCAGCAATATTAACTGTTTCTCCAAGCTAAAGGGGCCTTACGTCCAAATTTGCTGCATTTTATTTTAAGGGCCAGTCCTGTCTTAGTTGTTTAAAGATTAAAAACTGAGAGCTCCCTAGAGTTCGATACAAGACGGGCAGCTATGAAAGAAAAGAGAGCAATATTGTTGAAAACTACCTCGGTGTTAACTGCCAGACAAGAAACTGAATACGCCTATCTAGCCACAATCGCGAGCATTATGACAAAAGGGACACAGGCCATTTCATCACAATCTCTCTCATATGGTGAAATGTATTGGTTTTTTCCATTTCAATCATAATAACTCTGCAGTCCCATTTTTATTCATCTTTTTTTTTTTTTTGCCGATAGGTAAACTTCCATCCAATGGAAATAGGGGGCTGGACAGATGCACCAAGACAAGCAGCCTACCACAATCCAGCAACAATTCCTATTATTACTACCAGATTCATTTAATCTAATACTCTAGTCCAGACTTGGTTTTTAGTATTGATCAACCAAATATTATTAACTGGTCCGTAAACAGAGCATGAAAGCAAATCCTTTTCTTTTCTTTAGTGTAGGACTCCAGCACTTGAGATAAAGCAAAATACTACTCCTGAACCTACAATATCCATTTAGCTATCATGGTTAAGTAACTTCTGGTAGTGCTATCTTCTCTCAATTTGTCTAGTACAAGGGTGTCAAACTTGCGGCCTGTGGGCCGGGTGCGTCACATGATGGCCCCGCCCCCACCTGGTTTAGCGAAGGGGGGAAGTCCCGATATGTCACATGACACCATGGTGATGACATGAGTTTGACACCCCTGGTCTAGTATAATTTTAAAATCATCTTGCTAAAAAAACACCAAGGAAGAATCTCTTCCTCTCTCAAAGGACAGCACTCCTGAGAAGATCTACCTCAGAGAGAGAAAAATAACAGAGTTGGAAGGGAACTTGGTGGTCTTCTAGTCCAACCCCTACTCAAGCAGGAGACCCTATATCATTCCAGACAAGTGGTTGTTCAGTCTCTTCTTAAAACCCTCCAGTGATGGAGCACCCACAGCAACTTCTGAAGGCAATGTGTTCCACTGATAAATAGCTCTTACTGTTAGGAAATCTCTCCTTAGCTCCAGGTTGCTTCTCTCCTTGATGTCGATCCTGAAGATGACATATGCGTAGCCATATTTTACTCTAGCTTTTGTCTATTCCTTTCTTAGCTTCCTTTAGGCTTTTTGCAAAGGAATTTTACAGTATTTCAGGCTCCCCACTTTCCAGCTGTTGAAAGGGGGGTTATAGAGATAAGGAAGGAATGTTATGTCTAGATGGCATTCTTTCCCACGGGAATAGAGAAGATGCCTGCAGGTGGAGGAGGGATGGACTGAGAAATGATTGGAGATTGTGACTCTGAGGGGACGTTTCAAACTTTTGCTTTTTACTGGGTGTAATTCCGGAATCTGGCCAGAGTCGGAATTACCTTGCCAATTTGATATGTTTCTAATAAACAGACTTTAAGAAAGATGGATGCCTTGGATTTTTATTCTGGGGACATATTGCTTGGAACCTTGACACTTGCTTAGTTTCCAACCATTTGCTTGCCTTCCGGTGCTTTGGAAAATAGGATGCTTCCCCTCTTCTTTGTGGCAGCCCCTGAAATATTGGAACACTGCTATCATGCCACCCTTAGTCCTTCTTTTCATTAGACTAAATAAACCCAATTCCTGCAACCTTTCAAGCCCCAGAATCTGAAGTTCATAGCAAATGTATATGCAGGCAAATATACTATAAATATATGTACTGAAACAGATCATAGTGTGTATATAGTGTGCATAAATATTGGAATGTATTTCAAGAAGGGAGATAAACTTACAAGATTTTTCTTCTTTTATCTTGTATTCTAGAATGTCACACCCCTCTTTCTGGACTGGAAAATGAACTAACAGGAATAGATTTTTCAGGGTCTCATCTTTCCGAACCATAAATATCTAAACAGAGAAAAAGGGGTAAATGAGATTACATGAGAATATAAAATATTTTTCTGTCATTTAAAAATATCACATCTGAACTGTAAATAAACACATAATTTTATAACACCCTTACCTAAATTACAGTTTCACATATTGTTCTTATGATCAGTTTAATACTGGAAGAGATTTTTAGATTGTTTTTAAATCAAGTTTGGTGTATAGCTTTAACATTTAAAGTATAACTTGTACTCCCATGAATTCCTTACTTTCTTCCTCCTTGAAGAAGGTTGAAGAAGAAAAGCTGATGTCCTTCTACTGAGAACATATATAATTATTATAGGTTCTTATCATTTTGAATCAGATAAACTGAATGCATAAATTTGCAGGTATGCATTGTAAGGAGATGGAAGTAAATTTTTGTATTCTTGGTATTGTTGTATCCTGAGTATATCAATCACTGATCAGAATCACTATAGATTTGGATGCCTTATAAAAGAAACAATCCTAGCTGATGGGATATAGGCAGCAGTGTCTTATAGGCATATAAGTAAAGTTCCTGGTTTGCATATCATAACATCAGCATGCTTGGGATAGAATTCAGTTTTGGTTGTGCTTATGGACTTTGTGCTCTGGCTAAATGCTCACCAGTTCTGTCATCACATGTAGCACATAATGCTACATGTGGGACCACTATAACTAGTAAGTTAGTCTACTTCTTCTCCGACTTATAAAAAATGTTTATGTGAAAGCTTCAGTTGAAAAAATCCATAATGTCAGGCAGAGGTCAACATACACGGGCTGGGGGCTTCCGGTTTGAGCTTCTTCGGCGACAAACCGAAACCTCGTCTCTGCGAGGCTTCGATCCGTGCTCACCGCTGGAGTGCCCCGGGCTGGCTGGTTTCGGGGCTAAGCCACCCTGTAGAGGTGGTGAAGAAGGGGGAGACTGCCTGCAGGGTTGAGGAGAGCCGCATCTCTCCTCCCCAGCTGGCCATTACTCCCTTTCCTGAAGGTGGTTGTAGTGGTGGTCAGAAATGGCCACCACAAAGAAGAACTTGACTGGAAAACAATGTGCAGGAGGCAGATAAGAAGAGAAAGTTTTGGTTGACCGGGTCAAACAGCAAAAGCAACAAATAAGGTACCCTGAAATTTAAATTTAATAACATTGTTCCCAAAGAAGATTTTGAAGCTGTGAAGGAGAGAGAGAAGGGAAAGGATTAGGGTTTTTTTCTTCCCTTCCTTATACTGACAGCTAAGAGACTTAAGCAAGAAATTGAAAAAAATCCACTTTGACATTAATAGGCATCTTAGCTGAAAATAAAAGTCAAAAGGATAATAAAGATTTCTGGATATTTAAAAGTTTTTAAAAGCAGGAAAGGAGAAAAAAAAAAGAATAAAGGGCAGGATCTGGAAAAATGGAGGAGACTGCCTGGAACTAAGGAATGGAACTGTAACTAAAAGGAACTTACAGTGAAATTTCAACAAAATTCCTCAAAGATACATTTTAATTGAAACTTGGTAACAAAATAATAGAACCCCAGGAAGAGAAAGTGGAAAAAAGAAGCAGAAAGAAACAGCCTTGGATTATTTGGTGATTTCTGGTTTTTGCATCTGGATGATTAAAATTAACCGGGTGGTTGTTTAAAAGTCTGGTATCACTCTTACAAGAACTGAAAATGGAACTTTAAAAATGGAAAGAAGATGCACAAGAAGGAAGAGGTTCTTTTGGCTTCGTATTTCAATTCTTAGAAATGGAGATTTGGAACTATGAGAAACAACAAAAAATGCTTGCAGAACAAAAAGATTGGGACAAAGAAGAAGCCATCTTTAATGATCAAATAATTTTAAGTGGGGGGAAAAAAGAAAAGGGGGGGAAAGAGAGTGAAAGGTTTAAGACTAGAAAAAACAACCAAAAAGAAGAAGAATTTGAAAGATAATATTAGAAAACAACAGAAGAGGGGATTACAGATGAGAAAATTAGAAGTAGAGAGACGAGGGGGTAAAAAGGGGAGGGAGAAGAAGAGGGGGAAGAAGGCAAGGAAAAGAAGTTGTAAAAGACAGAAACAAGAAATGGAGAAACAGGACTTCCGGTTTGCAAGGTTTCGGTGGCGGCAGGGATTCGCGACACCGCGCGATCCCTGCTGCATTCGCCGCCAAGGTTCCCCCGATCCGTTTGGATCTGGGGGATAAAGCTGCCCCATAGAGGCAGCTGAAAACAGGGGGGATCCGGAAAGGGGTTTGGGGGTGACGCAGACCCCCTCCCCAGCCGGCTAAACCCCCTTTTCCCGAGGCGGAGGAACGGCGGTCAGCAATGGCCGCCATGAAGAAATCTGCAGCCGGACAAGCAGGTGCAGGAGGGAGAAAGTCGGAAGAATAGTGAAAGTTGCTTCTAACCGGGACAAGACAAGAGAAAGTGACCTGGAATCTTGAAGGCTGCTAAGTATGCATTGTCTCTAGTGAGAGTTACAAGCTGCGAATATCTTAAAAGGGAAAGTTTTTTTCTTTGTTCCACTCTCCTTCCTAAAGTGACAGCGGAGGGAAATCCTTTTGGCTGTGAGTGGGAAGGGAGAGGGGAAAAAATTGGAGCAAAATTTGAAAATAAGGAGAAGATTGCCTAGAATTTTAAAGAGTTACTAAACATCAATAAGACTTCCAAAAAATATATTTGAAAGGGAACTTTGTGATTAAACTTTAACTCCAGAAAGAGAAAGTGAAGAAGAAGAAGGTATTTAAAAGAAACAGCCTGTTTGGATTGTTTGGTGACTTTGGAACTTTTGAGAATTATTTCTGATTAAAACATCTGGGTGGTTGTCTGGAAAAACTTTTTCTCTACACAATGGCATCACTTGTGGATGGATTGAAACTTGTATATCAAAAATATGAAAAAGAAAAACAAGAAGGGAAAGATGGTCTTGGCACTATTTTTCAATTTTTAGAAATGGTGGTTTATACTTATGTGAAGCAGAATGAACAACAGGATGAAGGGGACAAAGAAGAAGCCATCTTTGATGAACAAATGACTTTGGTTGGAGAAGGGAAAAAGGAAGAGAAAAAGTAAAAGAGGACTCCAAGATCTGGAAAAAAAACCCAAAAAGAGAAGAATAAGGTGAAAAGGGGACATTATGTTAGGAAACAACAGAAAGGGGGAAAACAGAATAAAAGGGAGGTGGGGAGACAAGGGGTTAAAGAGGACAAGGAGAAGAAGAAGCAAGGGAGAAAGGAAGGGATGAGAAGCCCTAATGGTGGGGAGCAAGATGTTAAGAAGCAAAAGTTTTTTAGAGATAATGGATAAACTTTATTGATAAAGGGATTCTAGAAAGGTACATAAGACTGTTTTTTTATATTTGTATTTAGAAATAACCATAGAAAATTGGAAATAATATGTAATTTAAAATGTGACAAAATATTTAATATAAACTAGTGAAACTTTTGTTAAGAAAAAAGGAGTACTGCAATGAAATATGATTTAAGATTGTCATCTGGAGCGGGGGGTAATAATTTTTGGAAAGCATAATTGTTCCCACAAAGGCATGATATTTAATTGAAATGGATAAAATGTTTAAGATATAAATGATTGTTAATATTAATGATCAGACTATGGTATTTTAGCGAAATTTTTTGTGAAATGAGAGATTTGAAGTAGAAGAAGGAGGAACATCGTAATGAAATAATGAGCTATAATATGTGATGTGGGGGGGGGGATAACTATGGAAAATAGGGCTCCCATAAAAGTATGTGATTTAATTGAAAAGTAATGTGTTAAACGTTTAAGATATAAATGAATATCAATACTAATGAATAGATTTGTATCATTTTTGATAACATAGTATAATTTTAGAATGTACCAGACAGAATCCCAATGTAAGTTATGTGTTTTATATTAAGTATTATAAATATAGGGGAGAGAGATAAAGGCATCATACTCCATATAGTGTACAGGAGAAGTTTTTCTTCTTTTTTAAAGAAGAAAAATAAATGGATGGCTGGAAATAGAACAGACAAAGAATAATAAATATTATGATCTGAATTGAGAGGAGATAAATAAAATAAAATTGAGAAAACTTAAAAGAGAGGAGAAGTTATATAGAAAATTGAAAATGTTAATAAGATATGAAATGGTATATAAAAGGAATATGAATTTGAATTTGTGTCTGTACCAAGAGTTATAACCCGGGACTAAGCAACTTTCAGAAAAGAGATTTTTTTATGGTTTTATGTTTTGTGTTTGTGTGTATTTATGTATTGTATGTCTTGAAGAATTAATAAAACTTGTTTAAAAAAAAGAAAAGAAATGGAGAAACAGGGAAAAGATATAAGGATTGTAACCATAAGCTTATTTAGAGATAATGGGTGAAAATTTAATTGCAAAAGGGATTCTGCAAAAGGTACATAAGATAGCATTGTTATATTATAAACAGAAATAATTTTAGAAAATATGATTAAAATGATGGATAAAATATTTACTGTAATGTAGTTGAATGTTTGGTAATAAATAAATGAATTAAAATGATTGGGAGAATTAAATGGGAACATTTTTAATTATTAGTAATGATTTATAAAAATATAAGTGAGAAATATGGGAAAAAAGAGTTAACTATGGAAAGTTTATAAGTGTTCCCAAGGAAGTATGATATTTAATTGAAAAGAAATGTTAAAGATGTTAAGATTTTAATGAATATTAATGATAGAATTGAATTGGAATGGAATGTGTGCTTTATTTACACACACATATATATATATATATTCTTTTTAAGAATATAGTGTGTATTTTAAGAATGTACCAAGCAGAATTTGATTGGAAGTTATGTATTATATTGAATGCTATAATCTTAAAGGTATACACTGAAGCTTAAATAAGAGTTTGAATGGATAAAATTAAAAGATATAAAGGTGTCATACGGGTAACTACAGGGAAAAATTTGTTTAATAAGAAAAGATAATATGAAATTGAAACAGGACAGACAAAAGTATAAATATAATGATTTGATTGAGATGAGATAATTAAAATAAAGTTGAGAAAA